AGGCCTCCGCTGCCTGCTGCGGGGTCAGGGCGCAGCGCCCCCCGCTGGTTCCCGGGGTGGGGGGGAGATCCTATAGTATCTGGCCCGTTGTTAATAACCAATTGTTCTGCTTCCCCCTGGCTGCTTTCTGGCCTCTTCGCCATCCGTTTTCTTTAAACACGGCCTCATTTTTGAGTAGGGCGTTGGACTAGGCCTTTCCAGGGTCCCTTCCCACCTTCAACTGGTTGGGCACTTGCCTAAAGGGCCGGGACAGGGGGCAGGGAAAAAAAGGGAGCTACATGTGAATTCTTGCTGCCCATCCTGCTCCTGTTCGGTTTCTACGCAGTGTTTTCACTCGTGGGTTTTGCTGAAAGGGCTAGCGCTAAGGCCCTGCGTAAGAGGTGGACACTAGGGCACGTCTGGTTGGGTCTTGGAGTTGCTGGGTTCTGAGCTCAGTTTATTTTCAAATCGGATTTGCTTCTGTTTTAAATTCAGTTTTGGATTTAATTGAATTGTATTTGTGATATGTAGGCTATTGGCATTATGCCCTTTCTGACTTGAATATAGGAGTACAGGTTGTAGCCATGTTGGTATAAGGACATAAGCAGACAAGGTTGTTTGGGTAAATCTTATATATTTTATTAGACCAACTCAGATAGTTGGAAAACATTTTCTTAGCAAGCTTTTAGGTTTAAAAACCCTTCATCAGGCTGAGGAAGCATCTGCAGTTGGTCTGTGTGCTCTTCGTGGATGGAAGGAATGGTAAAGGAGCCAGAGGCTGGTATGCAGGCAAGATGGGCAGTGAATGAAGATGGGTTTAAATCTGCAGTTGGTGCATGGGTGACTGGTGCCTCCTAATACTGGGGGGGCACCAGTGGCTGATCGCTGACCGGGAGATGGGGGATCCCCCAGCGGCCGATCGTGAATAGGGGAGCTGGGGGCAGAGGGAAAAAAAGAATCTTTGCGCAGGGCAAGGGAGGCCTGCAGCTGTGAGACAAGCTGGGCTCTGCCTGCTCTGTGCTTCCATGCCTCACTGCAGCCTTTGAAAGCGGTGCAGCACAGCGCCATGTGCCTTGCTTCCCAGCCCATCCAGCAGCGGGACACACATGGTGCCATGCTGCTTTCAAAGGCTGCAGCAAGGTGCAGGAGCCACTGGGCTCCAATTGCCCCATGACCCAGCCTTGCCAGGACCCCGTTCATGGTGAAAGGGGCCCTGGCTGGGCCGGGTTGTGAGACAATCCCCACAGTGCAGCAGGGAGCGGGGCATGGGCAAATTATTCATCCCTGTCCCTCCCTCCTATACTGTGGGGGCCTTGATTTCCACCTCCCCTGCTTCCAAAGAAAAAACCTTACCTACTTGCCTGTGCTTGCTGTGCTGGGCTGGCTGCAAGGCCAGCTGCAAGCCCGGCGTGCCCCTCCCCCTTTAGAAGCCTGTGTCCGGGTTGCCTGGCAGCAAACCTGGAAGTGCCGCTGGCATTTTTCTCAGGCGGGGCACAGCCAATCTTGGGGTGCATTTGCGCCCGTGTATACCCACTATGCGCCACCAGTGAGTTGGTGCATGCTCTTCCTGGGTGGAATGAATAGGGAAAAAGCCAAAAGCTGGGCTGGTATGTATGCAAGACAGTCAGTGAAGATGTAAGTTGAGGAGTCAGTGGGTAAGAGACAGGCTGGGGATTAGCGGGGAATTAATGTAGCTGGTAAATAGCAGAGAGGTACTGGGGAGTCACATGTTAGGCATGTTATAATGTCGCATAAATCCAATGTTTATATTTAGTCCATGATTTTTTGTATCCAGTAGGTTGATGAAGTGAAGTTCATAGGCTTGTCTGTGAAAAGTGTTTTGTAAATTGTAAATGAGGATTAGAGCTGAGAGCTTGGAGAGGAGAGTGGTTTTCTTGTGAGAAATGTGCCCCCTCGCAGGTAGTTGGGTAGTCTTGTTTATGATAGATTTCTGGTGTCCATTCATGATCAAAGACAAGAATACCCAACTACCTGTGAGGGGTATTAGACCAGTTCTAAAGTTATTATACATTTTCTAGCTCTGACTTCATAGCTGGGTGGACATTTTTACAGCATGATAGATACTTTGCAGGTGTAGCTGGTCTAAATTAATCGTACAGTTAACTCATTAATTGTGTAATACATGTGATGTGTTGAAAGGGCTTTAGTTCTGGGTTTTAGATGTAGCACAGTAATGTGGGGTTTTTTTCCTCTTAAGTTTTCTCTTTTGAAACACTTGATAACATTATGGAGATGTTGCTTTTGGCCTTGGTTTTCACAGAATTTGAATTGTGAACCAAATGAAAATTGATTGTGGTCCAGTACACATGATCTTCTAGAGCAGCATTTCTTAACCGGTGAGTTGTAACCCAAAAGTGGTCGCAAGAATATTTTAAAGGGTTGCAAGCAGGTTCCCAGAAAAACCCATGAAAGTACAGGTTTCCTCTTGTGGGCTGGCAGCATTCCAGCCTGCAAGCTGCTGCTTGGGATAATCGGAGGCAGCGGGCGCATGTGCATCTCCGCAGGGAGTTGCACATGGCCAGCATAGAGCAAGGCCTGGTCATGGGAACAGCCCCAGCTGCTGGACACAGGTAAGTATGGGGAGTGAGGGGGTGGACATCCAGAGGACTCTGTGGAGTCGGGGGGGACGTGTGTGTGTGTGTGTGTGTGTGTGTGTGGATGGTGGCCTGGCACAGGGCTGCGCCAGGGTAGGGGGAGTGGTGGGAGAAGATGCTTGGCCCTTCAAGGGGGGAAGGAGGTGGGGATGGTCCTTTGCAGTGGGGAGCTGCGTGCCTGGGCCAGCAGCATGGGGCCAGAATGCATACAAGCAGGGGCCTCAACTCGCTGCTTGCACTCTGGCCCAAACAGGATGGGAGCAGCTGGGGGCCCCCTCTGGCAGGGCTGCGGGGGAAGGAACTGTGGATCAGGAGTGAGGTACACCAACATGGCCCTGGGGGCCAGGGAGCTGTGGCTTGGGGGTGAGGAGCACCAATAGGGTTGGGGGGGCCAGCAAGGCCAGGGGGCTGTGGCTTGGGGTTGAGGGGCACCAGCAGGGTCCCAGGGGGCAGGGGAGAGGACTGTGGGTCGGGCACCGGCAGTGCCAGCGTGGTGCGAGTTGGGACAAGCCATTGATTTTGGCAAATGGGTCCTGGTATGAGAAAAGTTGAGAATCACTGTTCTAGAGGATAGAACAAATGGTTTGGTAATTTGCCTTACTGTTGTAAGCCGTATGTTGGATAACAGGACTGGCAGTTAGGTATGCAAGTCTCTTTGTGGATATAGTTCAGGGGTGGGCAGTTATTTTGGCCGGAGGGCCACTTAGGGAGTTTTAGAGAGCTGTCACAGGCCAGGTCAACACTCCCCACACCCACCATGCTGGGTTAGCACCCCTTCACCCTCAACAGCTCACTAAAACTTCCTAAGCGGCCCCGTGCTTGGCTGGGCGGATGGGATGGGGCTGTGGGCAGGGAATGGTATCTGGGAGCAGGATGGGCAGGCAGGACCAGAGCTGGGATTGGGATCATGGGGCTGGAGCTGGAGCTGGAGCCTGGGGCAGAGTTATGATCCGGTCTCTGTATGTCTCTGCGGTGGGCACTGTTTCTGCGGGCAGGGGCTTGTGGGGAGCAGACCACAACTCTGTGCCGGGCCCCAGTCCCCCGCTGTCACTACCCTGTAATCCCGGCCCCACCCCACCTGTCCTGATCCTGGATGCTGCTCCCTGCCTGCCTGTGCCCCATCCCATCTGCCTAGTCACATACCCTGCCCATGAGGGTCCCAGATGGTCTCCATGGAGACCCTGCCCACCTGCTCTGTTCAGTGCCTCTGGTGGTGGGTGCTAGGGGGACAGGCTGGAGTGCCCAGGCAGCAGGACCAGGTCCAGCAGCCAGAAGGAGCCGCTGCTGCAGGGGCTGCTGGGAAATGGAGTCTAGTCTGTCTGCCACACCATCCCAGCCCCATGTGC